TTGGTGACGAGAGCCACTCCACAGCTGTCGTGGCATATGGAAGGTGTGGACCAGTTCCATGCAAGGGGAGTGCCCAGGCCTCCACCCCGCTCCCTGCAGCACAGCACCCCGTACTGAGCCCTTCTGCACCCTTGAGTTCTTTCACCCCTGTCCGGTCCATGCCCAGCTCAGTTGCCCTGGGGGGGAGCACAGCTGCTGCGTTCCCCACCCTGAGCCAGGGCAACCCTTACCCAGGTCCTTGGTGCTGGCATCTGGCTGCCTCCCAGAGCTCTCCTTATGGTCGTCGATGGAGGAGACGCTGATGACGCGCTTGCTGTGTCTGACAGGGCTGGTGCGTGAGGCATGGCTGGGCTGGGGGAAGAGCCGCAGCGGCTGCATCTCCTGCCACAGACACAGCTGGTATCAGCACCAGGCCAGGCTGGGCAGTGCCAGCCTGGGAACCAGCCACACCCACCACTCAAGGCCAATAGGGACCATTCAGAGCATCTCGTCTGACCTCCCCCATCACGCAGGGGCAACACCTCCCCCAGCGAGTCCTGCCCCCACCCCAGAGCAGAGCCGAGGCAGAGGGATGGGGACGGGCACAGGGACGGGGACGGGCACAGGCACAGGCACGGCTTGGCTCCCCTTACTTGGCTGATGGCCCAGGAGGGAACATGCTCCACGCCAGCAGCCGCATGGCTTGTGTGAGGGAGACCCGTGTCCACGGAGCTGCGTAACGTGGGAGGGGCCAGATGTGCCACTGTAGACAAGGAGAGCGCAGAGCCCAGCTGAGCCCAGAGCGCCAGGTGCTGCCGCCACACGATGGCCCTGCAAAGCTTGCTCTCGGCTCCTGGCTCCCTGGCAGCCGGGGAGAGGGGGTCACAGCGCCAGCCCAGTGACCCATCTGAACGCTGGGCTGGTTCCTCTGGCATCAGAGGATGGACCCGGCTGTTCCCACAGGCCTTGGCTCCACCCCGAACCAGGTGCTCCACCCAGCAAGGCAGGGAACGCTGCTCCAGCAGCCAAGTCTGAGGGCAGAGCAGGGCTGTGCCAGGGGGAGGGGCTGCTTGGGCGCAGGATTCTCCACCTCTCCAGAGCCGCCAGGCCGGGTGTTAAGGCCTCTCACTGTGACTTGCTGCCAGCAGGGGGCACCCTGCCAGGCCCTGCTCCATCCCTGCTGCACAGGGATCCCCCCCCTTGCAGACACAGGGGCTTTGCTCGGGGGGTTCTAGCTCTTTCTGTCCTCTCCCCAGCCAGGTGCCGGCCTCCAGCCCCCCTAGTGGGACCAGGGTTTGGACACTGGCCCAAGTCTGGCCCAAACTGCCATGGGCAGGAGGGACCGGGGATGGGAAGGACGAAGGTTCTGGTGCAGGGAGCAGGACCCACCACTCCCACGGGAGGAGCTCCAGGGCAGGGCCCATCACTCACATGACTGAAGAGTTCATTGGTCAGCCCCAGGTAGTTGTGGAGGGCCAGGAAGGTGACCCGCTGCAGACGCACCATGATGATCTGAAAGGGAAGGGGAGAGTCTGAGCGTGGGGCACAATGCGGGGGAGGGGAGGGCGTCAGCACATGGGAAGGGGGCCGAGGCCACACTCACCTGCACCACCCGCACCAGGCTCTCGGGGTACTTCTCGAAGACGGCAGAGAAGGCCTCGACTGGCAGCCGCAGCACTGTGGAGTCCTCACCTGCCCGCGCAGACACAGTCCGGTATGGCCGCTGGTGCCCCTGTGTGAGAACCAGGTAACCATGGGTCCCTGCACCCAGGCTGGGGTGCCCCTGCTTCCTCCTTTGGGTAGAGCAGCCTACCAGTGGTGGGCATTGCCAAGGACAGCCAGGGATCCAGCGGGTACCCCACGGCTTCAGGCCAAAAGATTCAGAGAGCAGCCTACAGCCACGTTCACCCGAGCCCAGCAGCCAGCCAAGGCCGAGACCCTGGCCCTGAGGAGGAAAGGTTCATCTCCTCTAGACCTCGCATGGGGCAAGGTGGCAAGCACAGGACAGGGTGATGGTGGCATGTCACCACCTCGGACCCAGGCTGCAAACCCATCACGGGATGCGGGGAGTCAGGTGGGTTTAGCACACACATCCCACAGGGCCTACCCGGATTTAGCCTTTCGTTAGGGACCCAGGGTTAGGAGAGCAGGGGGTTGCAGATCGGGATTGAGGGGCATGAGCAGAACTGGGGGGGCCCATGGCTGCCAATCACTCAATGAGCTGGACTATTCACTCCAGCACCAGAGGGGCGGGGGAGTGGGATGGGAGGAGCGGGACAGCGGGAGGGGGGGGGGCAGGGCCTATTTTCTTAATGAACACACAATATTGTA